TAGTCTTTGGTTCCTTCTGCCAAGGGTGCCATTTTGGTACATGTTTTTGAGCCACAGCCACATGTGAACTGGTTGCACCCTTGAGGATTTCAAGAAAACCATGGAGAAAGCAAGGCATCTCGGCTGAAAGGGAAGACTGAGACCTGGCATTTGGCAGGACCCATCTTTTTCCGTCCCTCTCAGACGATAGTTTCATGCATGAGTTTGTTGCAGCATTCTTGCAAATTTAGCATGCCCAGCCCACATCCATCTTATCTCCAGAGTTGCTTCCCATGACCAATAGGAGCATCAGCGATTGGACTGGCCGATATAGATTCGCAGTGAGACGAGACACGTGCTTTGGTGATGCCGGTTTTGCCAGGGAACCACTCTACTTGCAAGGTGACCATCGGGTCAGATCAGACATTTGCACACATGGGTGAGGCTCAACATTAAACAGGAGGGGTTACGCAGGTTTTGGTCCATGCTTCCACTTACCAGGGCTCCATTTTGGTACCGATTTTTTGACCCACAGCCACATGTTCGCACCAAACGTGGGGGGCAAGCTTTGAGTTTTCTCCCAGGCATTTCTGGGGTTGTCCATGGATTGGGCCCCATGTAGCCGTGCGCATCCAAGGACGCAGTGGCTGCAGGAACAGCAAGCCTTGGAGGTGCGGAGGAAAATGCGTGCCACCATTCTCACATGAGTCTCTCTCTTTTTTTGGAATGGTACCCTTTTTGGGGTAGTTTTAAAGGGAAGCAAAGTAAAACCACCAATTTGGAGAGAACCTCGCATAAGCCTTGTAGTCCCTATAGTTTGTTGTTGGTTTGGGGGACACTCCAAATTCCGGTGAGCTGTTCATGGAGAGATATAGCGTGCGTTTGCACAGCTAGGCACGATGCAAGCGAAGGACTGTAGAGGGAGGGGAGGGAAGGGGAGGGAAGGGGAGGGAAGGGGAGGGAAGGGGAGGGAAGGGGAGGGAAGGGGAGGGAAGGGGAGGGAAGGGGAGGGAAGGGGAGGGAAGGGGAGGGAAGGGGAGGGAAGGGGAGGGAAGGGGAGGGAAGGGGAGGGAAGGGAAGGGGAGGGAAGGGGAGGAAGGGAAGGAAGGAAAGGGAAGGGGAGGGAAGGGACACTGACCTGAAAAAGGAGCTGACTTAAGTATGATGTCTTGTTGCTTGAAGGGAAGGGAAGGGAGGGAATCGGGAAAGAGAGGGAGAAACCGCACTGGCAACCTGTCAGGCCTCCCACAACCTTCTCTCCGCAGAGCTCCGCTCCGCGCGCTCAGAGCTGGAGGCGGAGAGATATCAACGAGAGGAGCGGGCGATATATCCTCCCCAACCCCCCCTCCCCCCGGTTGGGACAACTGGGACCGTGTAAGTTATGATGTGCAGGGCTTGCATTGTGTAGGCTCTCTCAAGCATCCAGATTGTGCTGGACAACCGTTTGATGGGGGGGCGGGCGCAGCCAGAGCATGGGGCTTTGGTGAAGTTTGCGGCCACTGAATGCCGGCCAAATGTCACAGGAGCTTGAGAAAGACCTCGCCTCGCAGCAGGATTCCGCCCGCTCTCCGGCGGAAGTGAGCTTTCAATGTGTAGAAGCAAATGATGCGATTGGCTACTTGCGCTTGTTGAGAACGAACCGCTGTGCACCTGAAATTGTCAGAAGTCATGCGTTTACATTATTTTCAGCTTTATCCTTATTTGCTGTGCAAGGGCCGTGTTTGCGGCTCAAGTCGTGGCTTTGGAATGCATTCTGCCTGGCTTGGGAGCTTGCCCTCAGGCAAAGCACGGGCACAAAGCCGAGAAGAAGTGGAGGTGCTGCAAGACCAGCTCAGGAGAAGTCAGGCCAGAGCGTTCCCACAGACTCTGCGTTGATGGCTTCTTATTCCGTCGAGCTTCCTGGCGCCCCAGAACTGAGATACTATGTTGCTAGTTGTCATGTTTATTCAGTCATTTTGCAGACTGCTTGACACCATTGGACCATTGGCATATGTTGGCATGGAAGGTGCGAGGCACCAGTTTTGGGCAGTATGTTTGCAGGCCTTTGCAACAAGGCCGCAGGTTTCGCTTGCAATGGGCGCGTGAAACTTGCTTGTCCAAGTTGGCATCTAGTTGGATGCTGAGGACGACATGAAGTCCTTGCAGAAACAGATGGCCGCCTTGAAAGAGGAGCATGCCTCTGTGGCCAAGGACTGGCGGTGCTGGGGAAAAAGCCTGACTTTCGGAAACTTTGCAGTGTCGAAATAAGGATTTGGACCCCCAAATTGGTGGTTTCCCTGTAAGCGTCCATTCGAACCCACCCCCAAAATGATAACCTCAAAAACACACACAGACAAACACAAACACACGCCCACCTGTATACTGAAAGCTGTGCTTGCCTGGGGCACTACAGCAAATGAACGCAGCATTCTTGGTTTTTGTTGCATCGCAGATGGAAGGCACTGGACTGCACAAGGATTCGCTACTTTGGTGCGGATGAAGTGTCCTATGCGCAATGTTGATTGAAGCCATGTTCATGTGCGGCACAATCATACTCAACGTTCAAGCGGACATGAGCGGACACATGTTTTTGACAATATATTTCAGAGCTCGAAAGCAATTACTCACTTCCTGAGTTGATGGACTTTAAACTTTTTGGAAAGACCATTTTAGTGGTAAATAACAAGTTCAGACTTTTTTGGGGCCATCCACTCAGCCAGTGAGATTAAGGGCTTTGCAATCATTCGACAGTACAACAACAAGGGGACTTTGCAAATTGGAAGGTCCTTTCCAGTGACTGGACACTTTGAGGGAACCTTTTGTCAGCTTGTGTGGTGCTAACAGCTTCCTGATGCCTTTCTATTGGCCGCCCACTTCCTTTGAAATTGCCGGCATGTTTGTCGGCTTTGTCCTGGGTTTGCTGAAAACCATTCGTTGTTTCACTTGGCCTGCTGAAAGGCAGTCTTGGTTGGCCCTTCTTTGGTGTGCAACTGTGGACGCAAGAACTTCTCTCGACACTTCTCGCGCTCCTAACCTAGGGGCGCGGAGTTTGCGCCTTCTGGGCTTTGAGACCCTGAGGCGGTCCCGTCCGCCGAAGGGTCGGAAATGATGAGCGCCCTAGCTTTGCCATTGGTTTCAGGCAGAGACTCTAGGGGTAACTTCCCCTCACCAGGGATCCTTTTTTCTAGAAAACAGCCAAAAACCCCGGGGAAGTGGCGATCGGTTTTTGAAAAGGAGGATGGCTGAACAGAAAATAGGAAATCAACCCCTAGAGAGACATCCCCACCGGGTCCCTTGGCTTCCAACAAGCCAAACACCGCTTTTCAGGGGAAGCCGTCGGACCGTGGGCGCCAGGAGCGGGATGACTTGTTGCAACGCTTGGAGGACGAGCAAGCAGAAATGCGGCCTGGCAGCCACGGCCACGGACGGCGACGGCAGAAACCGTTTGAACTTGTTTTGATCAATCTACTCAGGAATTGAGCATAAGAATGCTAAGCAGGCAACTTAGTTTGCGAAGTGGAAGGTGCCCATGCCTCATCAACCTACTCAATAACTCGCAGATGAAGTTCGCGGGACAGTTTAGGTTAACAGCCACGTCCCAGGAGAGCTTGACATTTCAACTCCCAGCAGTGCTTAGGGCCTGGCTCTGGCTGAGTCTTGCAAAATATCTTGCCAATTCTGTGGCGAGCTTGGTGAAACGAGCTCCCCATGACCATGCATAGATGGGGATGCAGCAAACATATTTTTCTTGCTTTGGAGTGCAGAATCCATGCAGACTGTGCGGACATGTCTGCGATTCCAAGAGCAGCTTCATGAAGCCCAGCCAAGGATTTTGCGCGTCGCCGCGGTGGAGGAACGCTTGTCCAAGCGCGAAGTGAAGGGCCAATCCTGGTGAAGGCCCAAGGCGAACGTGCCTGCAACAATTCGTGCAAGCCCACCTCAAACAATCACTTCATGTTGTTTCGAGCTGAATGTTGAAGGTATGTTGCTAGCATTTTTGGGGCAGGTTGGGCTGCTTGTTAGCGCTCACATGTTTGCGTGTCACGGTATAGCTTAGAAGCATGGCGACTTTGTCTCCGAGCTAGTGATCAGTGTCGTTACTAGCACAGATCCACACATCAGCACGTAATGTACATTTGGACATGAGGGACGCGTGTGTGTGTGTGTGTGTGTGTGTGTGTGTGTGTGTGTGTGTGTGTGTGTGTGTGTGTGTGTGTGTGTGTGTGTGTGTGTGTGTGTGTGTGTGTGTGTGTGTGTGTGTGTGTGTGTGTGTGTGTGTGTGTGTGTGTGTGTGTGTGTGTGTGTGTGTGTGTGTGTGTGTGTGTGTGTGTGTGTGTGTGTGTGTGTGTGTGTGTGTGTGTGTGTGTGTGTGTGTGTGTGTTTTTGTGTGCGCGGGAGTTGTTGAGCACGGCAGTGAGCTTGCGGGCTTTGCAGTAGAGCTACCTCGAAACTCCGGGGTGCCACGGTCAGTTTGATGTTCCGCCCATCCAGGGATTTGGCCCAAGAAAGCAACAAACGCCTCGCCAACATGGGCTAATTGGGCGGGCGGCATCGCGCAGTTTCACCAATGCCATGGCCAGCACCGAGAGAATTCATGGGAAGGTTCCGTTACTTGGCAGTCGCCTGCTAATTGCCAGAATGGCAGGTGCTGGTCACTGCAATGCACTGCTGCAAGGGTACAGGGCTTGGTGCCCGGCCCAAATCGAAAAGCGATACAAAACTTCAAGCCGCCGCTCGCTACTTGAGCTGCTTGAGCTGCTAGATGGCTACATTTTGTGGCCCTCATACTAGACAGTGTTGTTTGCTTGCTGGCCAGCGTGAGTGCGTTGCCGCTTTCAATGCATCGCTTTTGCATGCTTGTGGTTTTGGCTGCTTTGCGCTGCATCTGGTTTAGAAGGAGGAACGCAGTAGATTTGCACACATGACTTCGTCATCCTTTTGAGTGCGAGTTGCCCCCATGCAGCTTATTTACTGTGCCATAACAACAAAAGATGTTCAGTTGCTGCTTTTCAACGGTGTGTACTTTGCTGCATTTGGGCACTTCTTCAATTTTGAAGTCACTGAGTCATGTTGACCTGGAAGACATTTGCAGCCTTGCCCCTTCAAAAGGATACCACAGCATATGTTGCATGGCCGACGCTTCCTGTCAGGCGGGGAGGAGCACACTTAGGGGTTAAAGATCCTTGGAAGGAGCTTAGTGCAGCACTCGGTGACCGTTGGTGTGGCTTTCCTTTTTGGTTGGCCTTTGATCCTGGATTGAGGCACGCCCGGTTCACGAACACAGATGGATACTGGTTGATTGAGTACTGCTGAGCACCTGCAGCTTTGCTGTCAGCCGCAAAAGTGGTACCGCTTTGGTTCTCCCATCACGGCGATGTCTCGTTTGTTTCAAACGGATCCAACTACTGCTATTCCCCGGTGCTTTCAGCACGCCACCCTCTACCGCGCGCACTTGCTTTGTTGACGCCTCGCATGACTCCATTCATGACTGCCCGGCCTCGGCCAAAGTTAAATGCCTCCTTTTCCCTGTGGGACAATGCGACAACCCTCCGTCACAGCCTGATGATAGATTTTGCAGCCAACCCGTAGGCATTTTCGAGCTAGGTTATTCCCCATTGCGACTTGTTCTTTCTGTTGGGTGCTTTGCTGACTTGCCTTGCTTTGAGCAGCTGGCTCGACACCGGTGTCAAAAGGTCCCTTCTTGGCGTCGTGCCAGGCGCCCGTTGGGCCCGGAGAAATGCCGATACTGCGGCTTTCGCGGCCCTTGAGCACAGGCCAATCGTCAGAAGGGGGTAAAAGTTGCAAAGCCCTTTGCAGACAGTTGCTCACTTTTCCAGGTTGGCTTCCAAAAACATGCCCTCACCATGCCGGTCGGAGTTTTTAGGGATGTCCCTGTCAGGAACTGGCAGAAGGCGGTTTCTGCGTATGACCGGACCTTTGGGCCTTTGACCTCGCAATGCATCCCTGCGCTGCTGGACGCCACCCTGCCGGCCCTGCCGGCGACGGGCTCGGCCCGAGTGCTGGATGTGGCCACGGGCCCGGGGATGGTGGCAGAGGCGGCCCTTCAGCGATGTGCGGAGGTGGTGGCGTTGGACTTCTCCAGGACGCGATCTTCGCGGGGTCTCAAACATGGACCCGCAGCTCCGGTTGGGTTGAGGTTGTATTCAAAAACATGTGGATTTGAAGCCTCGTGTCCAAAACTGCAGGTCTCACGGAAACATAAGGAGTGAAGCAAAACGACGACAATCGTGGGGAGCGGCCTTGCCGACTTGGAGAAACTCAGCTTGTTGAACGGGTAGCAAACAAGCCAACTCCCTCTCATTGTGCCATCAGTGGACCATCGGCCGCCAACCGATGGTCGCGCGTGCTCCAAACCTCCGCGTGGTGCGCCCTGGAAACTCACCCCACATGCGAGGTAATCATCGGATCCGGGTCACAAGGGGAGGACATGCAGACAATTAGCAACAGAGATGAGGATGGAATCGAACCAAGGAACATCGCACGCGGAAAAGTCACAAACATCAGGAAAAGACTGATACAATCAGGAAATACATAGGGTGAGGCAAACGTCCCTCCTCTTAATAGAGGTGGTCGGTGTAGACCGACCGACGAGGAGCAACGGGGTAGATACCGGTTGAACATGGACTTGGGAAGATGGCCTCTTGGGGACTCGACGGCCGTACCACTTCCTCTCCGTGCTTCAGCCCTACTCCGGGTAGAGGCGGGTGGGCTCCGACTCTCCGAACTAATTGAGGAGAATGCCGATGGCAGAAAGTGAGCAGACATGGCCGAATCAACTCACGTGATAAACAACAATGAACTCCGCCCCATAGAACGCCATCATGCGCACACCAGCAGGCACAAATGGCAGGCCGAGCCGGTAGAAAACGCCGCCGAAAAGCGGCCACATACTGGGCCACCCTCGCAGCACAACTAATGACGGGTAGCACACATGGGCAAAGCAGAAACGCGGTACTCCGGAAAGCCGACAACTTACGCAAACATAGACGAGTGCAATGGGGAACGTTCTTAAAGCGGCACAAACAGACAAGACGAACTCACCATGACATACGCATAGGCACATGGAACACTCGCCGACTGGGCGCTGTGCACGGGCGGGTTGACGTCGCGACCAAACTTCGGCGCATGGCAGAGGTCTGGCAGTTGCGAAAATGGGACGCAGCGCTACTACAAGATGTAACGTTGGGTGAAAGGGGACGAATGACGTTTAGCGCAAAGAAGGAAACATGGACGATCATACACAGGGGAAAAGTGGCCATAGCACTGGGAAACAACTACAACGACACACCATACACTGACAGCGTCCTTTGGCGCAAGGCGGTGTGTTGTTTCCGACCGACCTAGTGCCCTCTGGCACAAAACAGCGTCCTCTGGCGCAGTGCGGCTCTCCGCAAACAGTTCTGCCACCCCCAGGCGTACCAGACCGCGATTGATGTTTGAGATTTGAATTTCTGCCCCGGACCACTCCCCTACCCATTCCCCTAATGGTTCCAAGGCGTTACCGCCGCGGCACGAGCCCTGACAAACCATCTTTTTTAGTTTTTTGTTTGGCAGCTCCATGCACACCCTGACCCGCCGCCATCCCCTCGATATTTAGACCGTCCATTAGTTTTCTCGCGCTTGACACCCTGCCTACTCACAGTTTTGGTTTCACCGAGATGTACTGTGCCGGCTCTCGCTCTGCCTGCATGCGCACTGATGGCGTTAGCCAGGCGCCTTAATGGTGCTGCAGGCTCAACGAACGAACGAACGAACAAGCCAGACTTGGTAGGTGAGTGAATTGCCTTTTGCAGCCAACGTGTACTTCCCGTACTACACTTGTACTGAAAAGTTGATTTTCGAGCTCGAGCTGTCAAAGTGTGCTTCGTGTAGTATGCTTGTACTGAAACATGAACTGTTCAACCTGGGCTGCCTAAAGTGTACTTGGTGTGCTCCACTTGTGCTAAGGGTCGCGATCAGCACAAACCATTGCAAAATGATAGGGGGTCAAGAAAGAGCCTCTGAAACCTCAGCTGGTATGGGAATGGGAACCACAAACTATCGGGATTCCCATTGCGAGAAGTATCTGAATTGCACAACGGGAGTGAATTGTTGTTGGGGCTTCCAGGCCGGGCGTGCTAAAGGAGAAGAACGATGGTTTCTCAAACTTATGTCCGAGCTAGCCCACAACAACAACGCGTCCAGCACCAGCCTCGTAGCCTTTGGGAACGCCCAGCGGCGCCGGATATCGCAGCTGCATTCATCACCGCTCAACCGTCTCGCCTGCGTGATTTGTTCGGTGGTGTGTGTGGGGCCGGGTGGTGCGCGATCCTGTGTGAAGATGTGCCTCAGATTTGCCGGAGTCGTTATTTGGCACATTTGAAACGCTTGGTCTGCAACTTTTAGATGAAACATTAAAGCGCACACAGCAGCATTCCGCAAGCCCTTGGCCATGGTTGTTTAGCATGGCAAATGCCGTGCGATGGAGGAAGATGCTCGACTTGGCTGAAGAGCGGTTGGGCAATTCCGTGGAATTTGTAGAGGCGGACGCTGGCAGTATGCCTTTTGAGACTCTGGCGTGAAATAGTGTTGTGCTTACATGCGTGGCTGCCGAGCTATTACAAGGGAATGCTTGAGATGCGGGCGCAGCATTCCACGGAAGTTGACGGCCAAACTCTCGGTTCCAAACAAGTGCAACGGCGTGTTAGGATGTGAAGGGCCAAAAGGCACATGCAAGCCCAAGCCAAATAGATAGTGAAAAGAGTGGGGACAAAAGCGCCTGCCAGAAGCGACTTTGCTTTTGTCAATGGAGTGACCTGCTTGCTTGCTTGCGTGCACACTAATGAACTCGAAGCTTGCAGCTTGCTTCTTGTGCGCTGGAGGTTTGCGACTGCCTGCAAGTGGCAAAGCATACTGTGGATGGATGAAATCCTGCACCACCTAAGAAACCCTGGAATGTTCGACCCCCATGAATTCCAACAAACCATGGTTTCAACCTTGGTGGTGCGAAGGGATTTCACAGCCACCGACACTAGATGCATGTTGAGGAAGCCAACTCCTTCGATGCAGTGCTGTGCAGCTTTGGAGTCTTACACTTGCCGGTGCCAGAGGCCGGGGTTCGGAAACTGAGCCGAGCCCCAAACAAATAACGAGAGCTGCGTTCCAAACTTGCGTGTTCATGTGGAACTATAGGGGCTACTGGGATCCTGGGATTTGCAGCATTTCAGATTTTCACATTGGGCGCACGGTCTCAGGGATGCTGATCGCATGGGCGTGTGTTCACCAGTTCCTTGTTGAGATGCTAGCCAACTGGTCATGCGCGTAGCCATTGCTTGGAAAGACGGCCATGGGACTTATGGAGATTTGCTCCAGGGGATCCGTTCAGGTTCTAGCAAACCAGTCTAGACCACTTGCGACAAAGAAGAACAAACATGTGCCATATACTGTAGCAATTTGATAGAATGAACGGGGTTTGCAACGTTTTGCACATCTCGCTTTACATCCCCAGTGATTTTCCCATCATCTCCCCATCATCTCCTGAACCTTGTCTAAATCGCTCCAATACAGTTGGGCTTGCAATAAAACCCTAGGGTCCCAAGACGACCTCATTTGGGGTCTTTGGGGGTCCGAGGCCTTTATACTTGGGGTCTTGGGCTATTAACTGGGACGTCGGGAGGCTTTTTGCCAATTCGTCACCCAACTTTTATCCCTGAGGCCTTCTTTTTGGAGGCCTTTCGCCTGCTGCGGCCATCAGGGAAGCTGGGCTTTACGGTTTGGGCTGCCGCGCCGGAGACGGAGGCGATGGCCCTGCCACTTGGAACCGGGGCAACTTAAGTCAGGGTACCTGTCAAAGTGCGGGGACCCCCAAAAATGGAGGTGGTCCTTTGATGACGTAGGAGGGTCTTCGGTTTTCTGATGACTCTGCGCCTTTGCTCTCTTGCAGCTTCCAAGCTTCGTGCACCTTTGTGTTTTGCAGCTTTAACAAGCAGGAGCAAACGCTTCTCCGTTCCGAGGATTGGTGCAGTTAAAGTATCTCTTCGAACATCCTACAAAACATAAAGCAACATCAACGAAGACGACTGGGTGATTGCACAAATGTGACTGGGGCTGTGAACTGGCAGAAGTTGGGGTGGAGGGTTCAAGATCATGAGGAGGCGACTGTTTTGTTTTGCTTTACAGCCTGTGCAATTTGTTGGGGCTTGTGAAGGGATAAACATGATGAATATTACTTAGATAAAGTATACGTGTTGTTAGAATGCCAGTTCGGCCGTTCATTGTTCTGCGCGGGTGTGGGGAGAGCAATTGCCGCGGGAGCCCTCAAAGGGAATTAGCTGAAGCGGGCGTTTTGGACACTGCTGGCAGTTTGCCATCAGTTTGTTTTTGGATGGCACCTGTTTGTTGTGGAAAGGGGGAACCAAAGGGACAACCACAATTTTGAGGGCTCCCCAAAAAGTGGCCACACCCATGTGCGGCCCAGGATCCATGAAGCTGTACAAACGCATGGTGACTTGAACGTGCCACTCCCGGAGGCCAGGCCCACCCTGTCAGGTTCCATGAGAAAAAGGTGGGAGGGTATGTAGCCATCTCGGCCATGGCATGTTAAAGACGGCCTTTTATGTCGTAAGGTCGGACCTGTCCCAGTTCTCTCCAACTTTAAGCTTCTGGGTCAGCTCACGACTGACAGAATCCACCAGATTGACAACGACATGTCCTGTTCCGCTTGTATGTGCATGTTGTGTGTGTGTGTGTCTTTTGAGGGTGAGTTTTTCACCTTCATTGTTCTTTTTCTGCAGATGCTTCTTAAAGGGAAAGCAGACCAGTCCCACGTTTGCATCTGACCCAGTGGCCCAATGGGCAGGGTGTTGCTTTCGCGTCGCTTTGTTATTGATGGTTTGGTTGGTTTGGTTGGATGTTTTCTTTGTTTCTTTGTTTGCATTGTTTGTTGTTCAGCTCCTTGAGGGCACGGCTTGAAAGCAAGGAGTGAACGCCGTCTGTGCTTCACGGACAACGATCTACTCTTTTGGCGATGAATATAAAGCCTTACTGAAAGGATCGGGGCTTTTATTTTCCGGCAGCCCTTTTCAGGTTCGTTTGAAGGGAAAAAAAGGGAACGCCACTATTGGGGGCCTTTGACACACACCCACACGGGTTGTCAAAACTATAAACCGTTTGGAATGCAGCTGATTCCCAAAAAGGACACCCTAGGGGAGGTTGATATGGGTCATTCCTCGTTCCCTGCTGGGAACAAGCAAGATTTTATCGCAGGTGTAGCATTGACCCCGAGAAGCTGGGGAAGCGAGAGGACAGTTTTCCCCAGCTGGTTTTAAAGGGCACCCACCCACCCAACGACCCACGAACCAACGAACCAACGAACGAACCAGCGAACCAAAGATCCGACCATCCTTTTTTTTTTGCACCCTGATTTAGAGGGACACCAAAACAAAAGCCGAAATTCATTGGGGGGGCAAATCCCTATCTCGACATAGACCCATGGGATGTTTCCGTGCGAGGCGCCGCCTTTCTTCCGCTTCGCCAACTTCGAAAGCAGCAGAGAGGCCCTGCTGGCTGCAGGCTTTGCAGAGGTCAAGAGCCAGAAGGTGCCCATGGTTTGGGAGCTGGTGTCTTGGCTGCGTTGCCAGCTTCCCAGTGTTCGTTGGTTCCACGCTCTAAATCCATTTTTGTTTGTTGGGGCTCAGTTCTTGAAAGCGGTTTCGATAAAGGGGTCCCCCCCCATGTTGATTGGCATTGCCCAAATGTGATTTATGAATGGTGTTGGGCCTGGAGGGCACAATTTGCCCGCCACAAAGTTGCTGGCTACTGCGCAGCGAATGACCCAGGGGGTTCGGAATGATAGGCATTCCCTTCCAGGAAATTTGAAACCATAGGGGATGGTTTTTCTTGGGTGATTCCAACTCATTCCCTGGCCTATCGCACCAGCAAGGTTAAGATGCACCTCCAACCTTGTGGCCCGAGACCCTAAAACCATCCCTCCTATGGTTGTGTCCCCTCTTTCCTGCAAGGGGTTTTGGTGCGTCTTTAACCGACCTGCTATTGAAGTCGCATCCTGCAGATGGAGGCCTTCAAAATCTGGATTGACTGCTCAGATCAATGGTATTTACCAAGCCAGGTACCGTAGGCTTGCTATACAAGGCCCATCACAAGCCGAAGCCTTTCAGGTGAGCCGGAGATTGGCTTCATGTTTTGGACCTTTGGGAGTAAGCATCGTGAAACGGGGCATCTTGGTGAGGGGACCTCTTGAACCAAGAACAACCACCATTGTTCTGGTGTCTTTCCCTTAAGATGGCAGTCTTATCTTCACTTGGGCTTTGCAAGTACCTTCCCCCCCACTTCAGGCGAGCCGTGGCCCTTCGGAGTTGAAGACCCGTCTTTCGGCTCGCTCCGAAACTCTCCAGGGGTTGATTCCGATTCCATTATTTTCCATCATCGTTCTTTTCAAAAACCGGCTGTTTCCCCTCGGTTTTTGATGGTTTCCTGAAAAGGTCCGGATCCCCGGGAAGAATGAAATGGAAGGTATCCCTGGAGGCGTGTTTGTCTCCCTGTTTCGCTGAAGCTTTTTGCTAAAGCACAAACGTCCAGCGCCACGCGGCACCGGAAGGCGATGGCCCAAAACCATGGGCAACTGATGTGTCTCGTCCGGAGGACTCCGCCGAAGATCTCTTCGTGGGTTTCCGCGACGGCACGGGGCGCACGGCGGAGCTCCTGGCACTGCAGGGCCCGCGGCAGCTGGCGGAGATCCAGCGCTTCGTCACCGCCCGGGCGGAGGAGACGCGTTCCGCAGGCGGGGCGGAGGGCGGAGAGCAGAGCTGGGTGGAAGTGGAAGTTTTCTCTCGAAATGGCCGTGGGTCAACACCAATGGTACCATTTTGGGGTAGGTGCACCAACCATTTTAGGACCTATTTTAGTGGGGATTGGGATGTTCACTGGGGGTACGGGGTTTTGACCCATAGCCAAATAGGGCCCACCATGAGCCCTTGTGGTTTGGCAACCCTTACTTGGTGGTTTGGGATTTGAACCCCAGTTCCTTTTGAAGGGAGGTGTCGGGAGGGGCACAAGCAGCCAAGTGTTCGCTAGCTCCCTAGCCATCGCTCGGCCTCAGGAGCTTCACATTTTGAGTAAACTGCTCCATTCAAATGTTCACTAACGTATCATGTGTTTGGTATTCAGTGAGTCAATCATCCATGTCCATTCATTCCATCGTGCATTTGGTCATGATATTGTATAGCACAGAATGCGTTTTTGCACGGAAGATGGCCCCAAAGCCTCAGAGAAACATTATATTCGTGCTTCCCATGTACATAGAAGGGTCAATGCGTGGATCTACGCAGTGTGTTTGCTTCTTTTAGAGCCTCGCGCAATTGAAGCTTTATCTTGCGTGGAATCTGCCAGGTGGGCCTTGCCGGTTTCACATGCCTTGCGTTCTGACAGTGGCCACCAAGCGATGACAGCGAGCGCATGCCGAAGTGATGGTACTTGGTAGAAGAAGTCTCATGAACCAGGCATTAGGTTTCTCATTTCGGAAGTGATGCAGGCCACTGCATTGAGTGGCAAGATGTGGACAGACACTGCGCAAGAGCTGGGCTTGTTACACACATCGAAGCAGATAGACCAACAGCTGCCCACTCCGCAGCTGCGTGGGTTCCTCGGCTTGGATCCGTAAGCGCGATCATAGATCACTTGCCCTGCTGTAAGTCCGCGTCCCTCAATGTTGTTATGTTGGTCCAAAAGTTGCATGTTCATTGAAACTGCCACCACTTAATTGCAACTTGTTGAATTTGTCCTGTTCGAGTTTTTAAGCATTCCAGCCGTATGTCCCACCTGGTTGCCAGCGGGTATGTTCAAAGCGCGACTTCCTATGACTTGTGGTGTTGTGACAGTTGCGTGTTAGTTGGTGGGTCTGGTTGGCTCGACTATGTATGCTAGTTTCAGACGTGTGGGGCTGGCAGGTCACATGTGCCTTCTCAGTTCTGCAGCTCAATGCTTAAATGGCCGTGGGGAATGCTGTGGCTCCTAGGTGGCTAGTCGGCAACACGTGAGCAGCGCCCAAACCCTCATTGGCCATTTCAGTAGGCAGTTCTGCTACCTTGGCTTTGGTCATGGCAAATTAGTAAAGCCTATATAAACCGTTATAGCTGGGTTTGTATGGCGGACTAGCCGTACGCTTTCGGCCCAAGATGCAAACTTAGCTTTGGAATGACAGCTCGCATGCTGCATATCCAAGAAACAACTGGTTCTACAGCCATGTGTGCTTTGGCGTTTGCACATTCCACACCAGCGACATCAGCGTCCTGCGCCACAGAACGGACATCGGACTGGCCCCAGCACACAAGTTTTTTCTGTGAGGTGATTTTGGCCGTTTTGGAGTTCTCCTGTGAGCAAAACCCTTCCGCTTACCCCGCAACTCTGGTGTTGCCTTGTGCGCTTCGGGCTGGTCAAAATGTGATTCTACAACGGGGGCCACCGTGAGATGATCGATGCAGTATGGCCCATAAACCCCCTACTCAAAAGGTACAGTGCATGGATCATTAATTACTAAAGGCAGATGCAACAAACAACTGGATCGACAAATCCCCCGTGCCCCTTGGTTTCCCCTTGGCCATGTTGCGGACGCAGCTGCCTCGGTGCCGGCTGCTACGCCGACCCTGCGTCAACTTGCCAGGCGTGCATGTGCGTACTTTTTGCTAGATTTCAAACCTGCGCATTTCGCACAGGCTTCAACCAAACTCGGGCCCAATGCATCAAGACACACGAAAGCACATCGCTCCCTTGCACAATTGTTCTTTGCCCTACGGTCCTAAGACAATAATGTCCCTTTATTCTGTTTGGTGTGTTGTCTAACGTTTGACCGCCACCCCATCTTCAGATGTCTGGCTGTTCGGGGCGCTTGTCAGCAGGCCGCTTTTCTTCTGCCAACCCACCAGAGCAGGACTGCTGATGGTCACTTGTGCAGGCTTTCCAACACAACACAGGTCGTCTGGCCTTGGCAAGATAGCTGGTAGCAGCCTTACTCGCTGCAAAGGCTTA